TGGGTAGGGAACATTCCTGCAAAGTTTCAACTTTCTAGCTTTTCTCATTCCCGAGTTATGAATTTTCCCGTCATAATTTTCACGTGCTCGTACGTAAGCCCTGGGCAATCCTGGGCAGCTGAATTTGAAATCTTTTTGTTATACACAGGTAGGGAACATTCCCCCAAGTTTTCAGCTTTCTAGCTTTTCTCGTTCCCGATTATCAGTTTTCGCGCCAAAACTCTCACGTGCTCGTACGCGGGGCTTAGACGTGCGTGAGAGTTGATACTGCGGTCCTGGGGTGACACTAGGCTGGGGAACACACTGGCAAAATTTCAGTCTCAAAGCTTGCGTGGTTGGCGAGTTGAAACACCAGGACAGACGAACACACACACATACACACACACACATACTGACAGGGTCGTTGCAATATGCGTTTTTGCTGCTTGTTGCAGCGCCATAGCGCTGCACGGCAAATACGCATAATAAAAGCGATAGTAGTGTTGTTATTGTCTTTAAGTGCTAACCACCATTCATTGTTGGAAATCTGATTTTTTTTCGTTTATTAGGGCTGTACTATTATTTTCAGCAAAAATAACGATAATAAAAGTAATGCCTTTACTGCCATTAAGTGATAGCGACTTTTTAACGCTGTATTAATCAACAAATGCGCGAAAATTGAATCGGCAAAAATGGTCGCTAAAAGTGTGTGACTTGGATAGATACAGCCAAATATTTGGAAGTGTTTTCTTTTCATCGAAAGATCCTGTACTTATCTTCAGCTGCAACGGGTATTTTCCGCAAGCGGTTTAGACGTATTTTACATAGGGCTTTTCTTTCAGGCATCGCAGTTGACTGGATTGGGAGAAAGCTTTACCTGCTGAATCGACAAGAGCGATCGCTAAGAGTCTGTGAATTGGATGGTCGTTACTGTAGGACACTAATTCGTGATCGTATTGCTCAGCCAAAGGTTTTTTTTTTCATATGGCTGTGGTAAAACGACTGCCTCGTGCAGTCACTGATAAAAATGAATTTCCCCTTGTATTCCAAAAGCGTTTTTCTTTGTTTTTGCTTTTCGAGTAAAGGTCTTGCTTGTTGTGAAACAACTTTCAGTAATATGGCGAAAAAATTTCCCAAAAAGTCAGTGAAAATGAGTCCTGTACTCCCACACCAACTTTAAAAACAAAGCCTTTTTAAAACTCAAAGGCCTGTGGAATTCTGAGTACAGTAAAAGCTTTGGTTCATCGTCAGTTGTTGTAGGCAATAGTCGTTCATCCAGGAAAAGGCTATCTCTACTTCACGGAATGGAGTTTGCAAGCATTCATTGGTCGTGTCTCATTGGATGGTTCGCCGCAGCTCGCCGATCCAATTGAAAAGCTTGCTGAAAACGATCTTGGTTGGCCCAATGCACTTGCAATTGACTTCTTTGCTGACAAGTAAGTAGTTATTTATATCAGTTGTATTAAAGGCGCTTGGGTAATCGTTGTGGGATCTCATGTCAGTGATGTTAATGGGATGCTCTCCCACATGCCAGGCGTATCTGTGCCAGTTCGTTCAATTTTTGCCTATATATATACCAAAAGACTAACACCGCTCGGGTTCAGTATTGGTATACCCTATTAATAGCTCTAATATATATAATAACGTTACAAACAGGGGTAGTAAGGTTATTAATGTTACTATATAAAGAAATTGCTTTTGATTTATACATATGTGTATTTATAATTCAAAAGCAGTTTCATGTTTTAGTCAGTGTTGGCAATGAATTCATATGAAGGAAAAGAACCGTCCTGATCGGCTTCGTAAAAGCAGTTCCTTTACTTGTAGACCATAGGTGCCTGTGCATGTACTGGGCGACTGCAGAATGGCTGTTTGGTTGTGCATGCATTAGCAGTCAGGGCAATCCTCTTAATCATCTCTACTTGTTATTTTATCTATTTCAGATTGTTTTGGGCCGATGCACATCTGAATGAGGTTGGTTTCATGAATTTGGATGGCGGAGCGCGGCATCATATTCCGGCCAAACGCACTTCCCACATCTCATCGATGACTGTTTTTGATGATCATTTATTCTGGTCGGACTGGAACTTACGAGAAGTTATACGAGCCGATAAATGGACCGGTCAGAATGAAACGGTTCTTAAAACCACAACACAGCTACCGAGTGATATCAGGGTAATTCTTCATGAGATGGTATTTTGTTATGCTAATTGCCATGCAACGATCTGAGTCTCAGTGCTGTTTTTGACCGGCGTT